GAGTTTATTCATTGTATTGTATATATGTATGCAATGACATAGAGTAGATTGCTTTTCTTTAGAAATTACAAAATATGCATTCACTCCATTGTTGACATAAATTTTATCTCATCCTGAATCCAAAATACACAGGTAAATATTAATTGTTTCGGTTGGTGGAAATTTATGGAATTTGTGCTGAAAATAATACAATGTTATTCCAGCACGTAATAATTTGTCATTAATTAATCAAGGTTTCCGAATAAATTTATAGCAAAGTAAGCTTAAAAATTGTGTTAATCTTTATTTTAGTTTCAAGAATTTTGAATGGCCTTGAACAAAGAAATTTTAGGCGTTTTAGTACCGTTTCTGATATTTAAAAATAGATTAGCCAATACTTCATAGGGTTACTTTATATGATACAGTTTTGAAATTGTGGGCTTCCAATCATAAACACGTGCATCGTTGTAACACCAATTCCACCATCGGCTGCCAAATCGAGCAAACATTGGGAACACTTGTCGCCAACAATCATCTGCAGAAAAAAAATTGAAAATGATTAGCATTTAAAATACCTATTTTGCTTAATATGATATAATTATATTAAAATAAATATCAACCATATTTCAATATTAATTAAACTCAAGTTTCACTAACATTGCATACATTAACGTAATTTTGTGACGAAAATTTAGCTTAATATTAATTAGTCTTTTACCTTGACAACCGCTTGTGGCGGATATTCGACCCTGTTCGACACGGATTTTCCAACATGCTGGAATTCGAAACCGATCAGTTTATTTTTCAAATTGTACAGAAGAAAAGCTGGGCGAAGGTAGTTGCAATTGGTTTCTTGAAATTTTTCCTGCTCAAACCAATTGTGCACTCCCATCCCGACGAAACATTTGTTGTCACTCCATCCCTCGGTGAGCGCTTGGGTGCGGTCATTTGGGACAACGATAAGATTTGAGGGATCTGGTCCGTTCTGGAAGTAAAGTTGGGTTCCGGTACCGTCAGATGTGAACTGGGTGGAGGTACGGCCTTGGGAACAGATTGTGCCTGAAAAATATATTTTTTTAAATATTTGTTTTGTCAATTTTGCAATCGAGAATTTGTTCAAATGAAAATTTGCGAAACATTATTTTGTAAAATTAGCAATAGTTGAAATTTTAAGATAATCGATAGATCATACGACTTACTTGGATCTATGTACAAAGTACGCCGTCAACGTGTAAACGTCATCCCCAGCGATGGTGTTTCGATAAAACATGGCAATTTTGTCAAATTTATACGTATTGTTGGGATTCGCTTTAGCTTCGGAAACTTTGATCTGAAAAAGTGAAAAAAATATTGTAAAATTATTTTCGAAAAATTATACAATTACTAAAATGCTGTAAACCAAAAGTTTGAAAACATCTTTGGATTAGTGTAAAAGATGTTTTCTCACGTTCATCTGGATTCCAGCAATAATTCCGTTTTTATCGAACAATGGTGATGTAGTTGTATCCAGTTTGGTTGGATCGGCAGCGTTAATGTATCGAAATCCGGCAAATTTTCCATCATTTTCGCAAGTTGTACTGGCAGAAATCCAATTTTGTTTTTCTGCATCGGTCTTACTCCTTGGCAGTGGGTTGTATCCTTTGCCTTGGTAGATTGGGACGAATCCATCTATTGCAAAAGTTGCTGAAATGTGGGAAGAAAATTTTAAAATTTCTAAAAAATCAACAATTCCAAAATACTTATGAAATTACTCTTTAAATCATTCCAGAACGGAGTTGGTCCAAAAAGTGCACCAAAAACGGGTGTGGACAGTGCAATGGAAAATATTGCAAAAACTGTTACTCCAACTTTGGCCATGGTTTTGGATAAAATTTTGCACAAGTTGAAGGAGAGATTTTGCACAAATTTAATAAATGGCGACTTATGCAATGTGTTAAGTACTTATGGGATTTTATTATTATTCAAATTTTGTGGTTTTGCCCATCTGCATTTGGTTCGTGATCAATAGAAATCATGCAATAAGACCGTGTCCTATTACGCATTCAAATCTTTTTGAAAAGTTTAAACTGGAAGATCTATATGTAAGTGATATTATTATTATATTAATATATGTAATCTTCCATGCAAACTCAAAAACTCAATAAATACAATTGGTATGATCCTATGGCATTTACGTTTAAATGTGGTTGAACAGAAGCTCTTTTGTTGAAGATATTTACTTATTTATATTTATAAGTATTTATATTCTCAACAAAGACACTTCTGTACATTATATGTGCTGTTGTGCGGCGAATTTATTTATTTATTCCCAATTTTTATTAACTTTTTGTATTATTTAATTTTTAGTAACTACTATATATGTATAATTGTATCATATAATTTATATGGGAAGTAGATGGAAAAATTTACTCATCAAATGTAGTATTGTTTACACGTGTGTCAGCCTGAAAATGAGAATTCCAATGCAACAAGTAAAACTTTTTATCCATATGTCATTATTACACATTATTACAGTATTACATACACTATCACCAAATATGTATTATTTCACACCAACCATGGGTTACTGTCGCAATGCAATAACTCAGCATTGAGTCAATACTTCAAAATTTACTTTTTACCAGATATTCAACATATATTTAGGTACATCTTTGCAAATTTTCAATTGAATAAGTCCAATATTGAATATGCTGTGAAAATTGTATTATTACAAAATGAAAAATGCACGACGAATAATTATTTGCACACCTGCATTTCATGTCTTTTTCTCTTCTTTGCTTTTATAACGGCTTGAACTCTTCCTGGCGTGGACTTTACCAAGTCTTTGGCTACAGGGATGATTCAGATGATTTAGAGATGATTCCTCCATGTGACTTGGGTCCCGAACTCATCGTAAGCTAAATACCCGACCTAGTCGAAATTTCGAAACGAACAGTCCAAGGACTTTTTTCGATAAATTGAGATATACCTATTAGCAGATTCTACCGTCGACTAATTTCATTACTATGACCTTATTTCCAGACATTTAGCCCAAAACAATCGAGCTCTGCACAAAATAGGTCGTTTTTTAGAACTTAGTTTATGAGCGCACATTTAGTTTAGAGTACGTTTTTGGCTATTTGATTTGGGTGCAAATCACTTGTCACAAATCGTGGTTTTATATAACATTTGCATTTTGCTAGTGATGGGATCAAGGACCACAATTAAGTGTATTCATATCAAAATACATTAGTGTCCTTAACAAAATCATTTGCAGAAGTGATTTTCCTGGTTATGTAATTCTGCAAACATTTGAGAGTTAATTTGGCAAGTAATTGTAATTTGTATTGAAGAAACAAGCTATTTAAATATAAAAGTACATACGTATTTACGTGAACATGAGAACTCGTTTCCTCCACGGCATATTTATCTCATGCAGAATAAGCCAGCTAAATTTTAAGCCATTGTTCAATGCTTACCTATTATCATACTTGATTTCCTAGTACATATGACGTATTTGTCGTATATGTACTGGGAAATGGAAAAGTAGTAATCATTCTGTCGGGCAAGGTATATAATTACTACTTGAATCTGAGACACGGTAATCGGGATCAGAGAGGTCATCAACATTTAGTACGGCTATGCAAATACATATTTATATTCGCAAACTGTATCTAAATCGCTGATTGTGTAGTTTTGCACATCCAAGCAGTAAAAGGCAGTTCTGAGTTTAATATTATTATTAATAACAAGTATTCGTACTTAATTTAGTTGAATTATAAATTATGAAACAACGAATAAAATATTACGTAATAAGCTGCGTGATTTTTTGGATTTTCTCTGTCCAAGGGGAACCTTCGGGAAATAATAAAAATATTTCTGCATCCGAAGAAGTTTTGACAACTATTAAACCGGAAGATGTTGTATCTGATGTTTCCCCCAATCTGGATAGAATTTCGATTGTATCACGTATAAATCCGGATAGTGTCACGCTGCGACTTTTTCGATCTATAAAGGCAGAAAAAGTGGAAAATTTAAAGAGTAACGACACTGATGGATTGGACAATCTTTTTTATCGCTCCTTATCCCGTGAGGTGAGTACATTAATAATTAATTAATACATTAGCAAAATTTTTGGTGTCGTCCATAAATTATTTTAACTTAACATAATCATAAAAAAGTAATAAATTTTCTGTTCACATCATATCTAATTCCTTGTACTACATAATGTGGTATTTCACAATAATGTGTGATCCAGAAATTATAAGCACATTATTCATACAATTACTACTCTCATCGTCCAACATCGCCTAAAATTTTGGTTCCCGCAATTACATTCTGTATCCAAAGTACATGAGAATGAGATTGTGGGAACCAAAATTTTAGGCGATGTTGGGCGATGAGAGTATGTATTTTAATTTTTGAAACTTTTAATTTTCTTCAACAGATTTCCAACACCACAATGTTTCTCCAAGGCACAGATTTTAGCGCTTCCTCATCCAACCTATTCCTGAACGGTTCTTCTACGTCATTGCTCCATACGGCCTATTCCGCCTACAAAAACCATAACAACCTCGTCTTTCGCCCAGACGACATTTGGCTCGCCATCTTAACCCAGTTCTCCCACTATGTCAACAAAAACTCGGAAGAGTTGAGACATTTATTTGTTTCATTTTCCGAAGGGAAGAAAGAGCTCTGGGTCAATTATACCTCAATTACCGTCGACATCGTCCCTTTCGATGATATGATCGACCAAATGGTCGCGCTTGTCGAAGAAAACGTAAATGCCAACTTGTCGTCATGGATACTACCAAATTTTTCTACCACGACAAAAAACGACATTGTCACCTCGGGAAGCATTTTCTTGGCTACGGTGCAGAAATATTTCGCCTACAATTTATGGCTCAGCACATGTGGGATTCCGAATCTTACTTTGTTAGGAAGGCGAGAAGATTGGGTCGAAATTAGAATGCGGATCGATAAATTAAGAAAGTTTGAAATTTCCGGGGAAACCCTGATGAACAAGTGGGCATCTCAACTTTCCCTAGTTTTGGATGAATTTGTCAAAGTGAAAACGACGGGTGAGGTGGATCACGAATTTTGGGAGGGTATCGTCCAACATGGCCGATATTGGGCAGTATGTACCGCAAGGGACTTTGTGGATGGATGGATAACTGCTTTTACCCCATTTAACAAGGATGGGGAATGGATTGGGATGCACCTCAGCTATAGGTACAAAGATTATTGTGAAGCCAAAACTTCGGTAAATTGGTCAGCGAATGCTGGTGAGGATGGGAAATGTCCCAAAAGGGATAAAAAGTGTCGTCTTCACAAAATTAACCAGGAATACAACAAAAAGTTGGACAGTCCTTGGAATACGATTCATATCGAGGATTTCCTAGCTGTGGAAAATCGTGTCAAGTTTCCTCTTAAAATCAAGGATGATTACGCGGTAGACTTGAAAGATGGGGTGTATGAAGGAACTGTTCATGCAGGATACATGGGACATGCCGTGGATAAGGATGAAGTCACTTTGAAGCCGATAATGGGTTGGGTTGTAGCGTTACATGGAAAACGGCCGGGATATTTGAATTTGATGAAGAAGAACAAGGTCATATAAAATTTGTTGTAAAGTATAATGTACTGGCTGAAATTGATATACTTTTTATAATTTTTTGTACAATTGTTGCGAAATGTATTTGGTTGTTGGTTTATGAAGAATTGTTGATTATCTGGAATAACCACGTATTTTTGGACTAATTTGTCTTCAGCATTGTAACCATTTATTAAAATGACAAACCGGGAAACATGACACTTTTGCTTCGCAAAGTATTATCCGTTTTGGAAGTCAGAGGGACCGGTTCAAATTTAAATTCAGCCCGCTCCCAATGTTAATCAAATGGGCACGTGCTTTTCGCGCGAAAAAATTCTATCCCTCTGACTTCCCTGGCCTGCAATACAGACCACAACTCGCGCTTATTTATTACAAAGATAATGTCTATTAATGCTTGTCGTATTAAATTTAAAACTAAATTCATGCATATATTTAATAGTGTGTCGTCCATTCAAAATAAAATAAATAAAGATGGACTACATTCGGTTCGCTAATTCATTTGATTTTATGAACTAAAAAATGAATTGTAGCTTCTGACTTTGATTTGCAGACTTTACGACATTTCAGACATTTGAAGCACTGCAATTAAAGAAATAAATCCGGTATTCATCAATATACTCTAAAAAGACTAATGTAATATCACTTTTATTTCCATGAATCTTACTAAGTGTGCATGTTTGTTTCTTGAGACGATGATAATTTAGTAGTGTTACGCTAAGGAATCTCTTAGATGGACACTCCTCGCAGAAAATTACTCGTTTCAAATTGTGTCTGTAATTCTCATGTGATACGCCAGTGCTCGCTTGCGGGCGAGAGATTCGTAACAAAAATATTGAGTAAAATTGGAATGGATACAACAAGTTGGGTAACAATTAGCCAATGTTGTATAAATTTTACTCAAGGTTTCATACATTTTATTCATAATTGGGTAGATTTGAATTGTGTCGATTCCAATTTTACTCAACCCTGAGTACATAAAATTTGTACAATTTTTTTAGGGTTCATACATAAATACAAATTGTATGATACCACGCAACATAGTAATGTTGCATTACTTTAACTCAGCTTGCATTATGTAATCACCGACTCCGACGTCTACTGACGTATTGGTATCCCGCGCACAATGATACTGATATCTTCCAGCCGAGTGCAAAATTGATCATTTTTCAATGTATGCGTAAATAAATTTATCGCTGTCCTTTATTTGGCAAGGGCTCTTTAATCAATCGATATGGTAGGAGGAAAGTTCAAACCTTTTACAATAGTTGGCTAGCAAGTCTAATAAAAAAAACATAATTATACTTCGTTAAACGTGAAAATATTGAGGAGATTTATCTTATCCTTAGCTAGCACCGAGCCTATTCCGTGTTCGTCGGCATGACATCGTGCTCTGTGACGAGTTGTCTTTATGTAGGAATAAATAACGTAGGTTATTTAGATAGATAAGTAAGATAAGTTCATTAGTAATGTGCGAAAAGGAAGATGTACATAGGTTAGAGATCTGCTAGATAAATAAGTTAGTAATTGTGAATTTGGTTTTATTATTTTAATATCACGCTACAAATTGAAAAATGATGATAAGAAAAAATATGCTCATGCACGTACTATACTTCTCGGGTGAGCTCTTCAGTCATCGTCGTCATAACTGCATTTTGCAACACCCCCCACGGTCACAACTTGAACGTAATTTGCACAACTGCATTTTCCCGTCTGAGTTGCACCATTTCTTAAAGTTGTACACGTTGCACCGCCCCACATGTATGGTCCCTGGAACTTGTACTGTTAAAATAAAATAGACGTTAAATAATATAGAATTGTTAATGGGGGCGTTGTAATTTGCTGTACAGGTTTATGTGATGCAATGCATTTCACAAAATTGATTTAAGAAATAAAAATAAATTTTAGAATTTAAATATTTTGTAGAAATTTGTAGGGCTCTACCTGCAAGCCACCCCAATCTGACGAACACACTGATTTTTCTCCGTGTCGTAAACATCAGCCAAATTTGGGCAGCTGCAGGACGACACTGACTGCGTGAGATTGTCGTTGGGATCGAATTTTCGTAAAATTCGACACTGTAGACCAGCCCTTTTGTCACAGCGGGCAGAATTGTTACTGTAGTTACATGGTTCACCATATTTAATTATGGCACACTTCTGATCAGCATTTTCCAAATAGCCGGATTTGCATTGGCAGAGGAATTTATATCCGGTTGTCTGAAATTTATATAAATTGAGACAAATATTTTATAAATACAAAGTTCGGGCCCTGCACTGATTGCGTATTAATTACTTTGCAAAAAAAAACTGGATTTGGTGGCTTTTTGACTTCACAAGTTTGAGGGATACCCTTATTGGCAAAGTCGCAGATGGACTATGTAACATTCACATTCCAAGATTGCAAAAATATCGAATTGGAAGGGAGAAGAACTCTCAAATTCAGAATCGAGATTGAGACCGAGAGAGCCCGAGAGAGACCGAGATTGTCACCACTACGACAAACCAACTCGGATATTTATCTCGCTCTTGTAATGTGCTGTAAGTTTGTTATTACTGAGTGGGCAAATGACCACTCCAAATGACTACAACGATCACAACTCACTCTCAAAGAACATGCCTGTGAGGCTAGGCTACTATCCCATAGTATATTGGGTATAGTGCACACAGGTCACAACTATGTACATACATTAGTGTGAATAATTGTTTTCAATGGAATATTTGCAAAATGATGGTTTCACCTGTTCAACACAATGAGCATTTTCAACACAGGAGTTCTCATCGGATAGACTGCATGGGGTATTTGTAAGGCCACGACAGCTTCCAAGTCGACCATTTGATGTCTTGGATGGGTCATATATTTGGTACGCCTCGTTCGGACAGAGACATCGCATTTCCGTGGATTCTCCAAGACTTGAAAATTAATTGAAAAAAATTATGGAAACTTACTACACATGTAATGTGTCACAATTTGGCTTGTTCTAAATAGCAATAGGTTTGCGTTTCTTTAAAATATTTTCGACCTATTTACGTACTTGGAGCAAACTAAGTAATCGCTACAAGGCTGCAGCATGGAGCATTTCTCGTTGTGCGTTTTTCCGCAAATTTTATCGCTTGTGACCTGCCATGAAGGATTCTCACAGAGACATTCACCCTCATGAGAACAATGGGCCCCTTCGACGCAGTATGTGTTGTCTGGATGGGGTGCATAGTAAGAGTTGGGTGTGTAGTTACTTTGCAAGAGGTCCCAACCTGAAAAAATAATAATTATTTATTGCATACATCTACATATTTGCTGTCCACTTTGTGATGATTTGCTAACAATAGATATTTGTGTGGCAAACAGTGATGTAGAGTAAATTTTAAGATTCGACTAATTTACATAATGTCGTTGCCAGAGTGGTAGGGTTGTGGTATTTACCTTGCCGACACACTGGTCCTCTCCAACTTCAAAGGTTGACCCTCTCCCTTGATAATTACGGACGGAGAACGTCCCCTCATTTCTGACTGTTTTTTCCGGATCGCAAATGCATGAACCACGCCCTCCACAGATTAACCGTTTGGATCGATCGCATTCTAGAGATGAAGAACAAATCTCCCCAATATGTGCGAAACGACAGGAGGCGGCGACATAGTCCAAGGTCATTCCGGCAGGACAAACGCAAATTCCGGTGGAAACGTCGCACGTCGACTTATTCGCACACTCCAGTGGGGGAATTGGATTGAGAGCACTTGAAAAAATAAATAAAAATACTTTATAAATTTGGTAAATTTATCTGAACAGTATAATGGGTTAATCGTAGGTCGACATAAAAAATTTAAGGAACAAACAAGGTCCCAAGATCGGAAATCTTAGTGAGGCTTTTGTGTGATAACACTTAATAAAAAAGAAAGACCCCCAAAGACGGATTGTAGATCGTTTTAGAATTGTGCAACAATGATCTGTGCAAAATTTTATCAAAATCGATTGAAAATTTGACTGAGAAATCCCAAACTGTCACTTGGTTGAGGTCGGATAAATACATGCTTAGTAATTCTGTATGTCCAGTTATTTGCCTCGCTAAGAAAAACAGTTTTGTTGCTCCGTGGTGAAACAAGTTATAGTGGGAAATTTGAAAAATATTACACATCTAACCTGCTACTCTCTACCGGATCCTGATTGGGGAGAAGAGGCCAGGTTACATTGGCCAACAAGTTGACACAATTTCTTCCGGGCTTCACCTTGATTCCTCAAAAACATTAATCATATCTTGCGGTATGGCACATTGACAATAACCGTTTCTACAGGTTAGCAATTGCGTTGGGTTACAAATCCTGGTTGGACTACAAAGTACCCCATTACCAAGAACTAGTATTTGTTCAGAACCTAATGCAGCAATAACTAAACTGAGAAAAAATCCGAGAACTGTCCTGTCCAACATTATATTGTTTGTACTAATTAAATACTAGAAGAATTATAATTATTTCTTACTTCGCTCACATATTCTGTATGTATTTACTTGTACACTGACCCAAGGAAAGAGATGAAATGAGGTAACGATACGATTTTTGGGATGGGTGATAAAATTTTTGCCAAACTGGGTCATACACTGTTATGTATGAGAGGGTGAAAAGGTTAAGACATGGATTTGAGGGACAAGATGAGTAATGAGGTCAGGTACATATTTATGTATACATTTGGTCAGTACAGATAATTGACATTAGCTCTATAAACTTAACACAATTATGTTAATGATGATACGTGGCGTACATTTGTATCTTTATTTGGAAATAAGTAAGAACATTATGTAGATATTTGTGTTGGTGTTCCGGGCTGGAAACACATTGGGTTATACGTAAATACAATAGTGAATAAAGGCAAGATCAGTATTATATGCAGTTATAGGTATGTACATATTTATTATTGCTACATTTCCATGTAAATAAGTATATACATAGGTTGATACATTCTTGGGTTGCTAGACAATTTCATATATTTTCCGCTATGTTAACATCACAATGAAAATGGTTGATGCATTACATCTTGTATTACATATCGTTAAAAGAGCTAAGTGCCGTCGATGCTTAATTCAGAAAAGAGTTATGTAAGTTCTATGTTATTCTTATGCACTTAGCTCTTTTCTGAATTACTTAGTACGACGATATATAAATATCTAAACAAATACATTATAGATTTATCAGAATATTATTGTATATTTTTAATGTGAATAATCCAGCCTGATGAATCTTGCTGGAACGGAGAGCAACGAATTCATCGTGTATCAAACGACCGCCGCAAAAAAGTTGTCCTTGTAGACTTTGCAAAATAAAAGAAAATCACATTTCCCAGCCCACAGTGAATTTTTACGGGTTGCAACGCCTTCATAATTTTGGTGTAATATTTCCTCTCCGTCCTCATCCTGACCACGATACCGAACCAATCTCGGATTAAATCACGAGCCATGGCGTGCTGCGGAGAAACAAAGTGGAAAATCAAATATGACACAACAATTAGCACAATTGCCACACCGACGTGAAAATAGAAGAAAACGATTGGTAAAAACGGGTAAAATTTGATTGTTGCAAAATTAAAGTAGACACACTCTCGAAAAAATTGTGCACAACTAGTTGATTAAAAAA